ATATATATATATATATATATATATATATTCAATACTGACTTTTAAATCACTAATATTGGCATATATGGTACCAATATATATAAAAAAGCCAATATATAGGGCAAGGTTTGATTTGATCCATTGAAAATTGATTTATTTGTTTTAAATGATCTTTATATGATAGATGGTTGCATGATAATAAAGATATCATTCACTATAAGACCAGGAATGTGTATTAGGAAAGTAAATAGGGTTAATTTAGATCTCATGTTGACTTTAACTGGCTACATTACCAGCATTTGGCTTGTCTATTTTCCCCTCACTCAGCAAGCCAGGAGTCTGATCCGACACCACAGTGTGAGATTGTGTGCTTGTTCATGTAAAACGGGGGCAAACATTCCTTTCCCCCCTCCGTACCTCTCACACAGCGGTACAAAACTGGTCTAAAACTGCCGGGATCCTAGTCAAGATCATTTAAAATGCCTTCTTCAGGCATATGTTTGATGTAAAGCGTTATGCATTTTCATTCTCAGCTTCATTAAAAGTGGTTTTGGTTTGTGTGCAGGCTGTATGCTGTGTTTCGGCCAATCCGCCTTCTTCCGTTTCAACCACCCTGAGGAGGCTTTCCGAATGAAAAGCATGATGCCTGAGGGAGGACAGACAGCCAGTGTGAAAAACTGGGCCCACACAGGTAATGCAATATCCTACAGGAGAACACACCTCGACAGTAGCATGAATTATCTAATGCTTACCACAACACACTCAAAGGCTGTGCTGTGCAGAACGTCATTTGTGTGGAAAATGCATTCCTGTAGAACCTCAAAACCTTATTTGTGTACTGTCTGAAATCACAAATCACAGAAGAATATGTGACATCCCTGACATATTACTCACTCTGTTACGTACAGATGTGTTTTAGGTATGTTAACATGTTGAAAAAACAAAGAAACAAGCTGTATTTCCTGTGCGAGCACTATACGAAACAGATACAGATTTGGTCTTGCCACATGGCTGAATGGCAAAGTTTGTTTCAGTAGTACAGGTATCGGCTTTCAGCCGGCCCTTACTGCATTTCTGTTTCTAACTGTTAGCAATGCAAGCCTGCCTGGATCCCGAGTTGCACCATGCAACTTTTATGAAGAGCTCATTCCTGTGGGTCTCCTGACAGACTGCTCTACATCTTCCACTCCCACTCACAGTGTTACACAGCAGCCAATGTTTAAACAGAGCATCTAGAATATGTATTGAGTTGTTTTCCTGAATTTTCCTGTTGTGTGGCAGAAAAGGACAAGTATAGCATATAAACACAGCTGGTGCAGTACATTTCCTGAGCTGGTAATAAATTCTCTCCACCATGAAACACTATTTTTGCAAACAACATACCCACTGCATTCCTGTTCAATATTTATTTTTCTTATTTTCCAAGTGCCTTAATGATCTAAAACTACGTAGCTAAAAGAATTTAGATTTTTCAGACTCTATAAATCAGTCTTTCAACAAATTCCAGATGCCAAAAGCACATGGACAGCTTTATGTACATGCCTTTTGTACAAGAACCTTAAAGGAATAGTTCACCCAAAAATGAACATTCTGTCATCATTTACTCACTCTCAAGTTGTTCCAAACAGTTGCTGGTAGCCATTGACTTCCATAGTATGGGAAATATACTATGGAAGACAATGGCTACCAGCAACTGTTCGGTTATCAACATTCTTCAAAATATCTTCAGAAGAAAGAAACTCATACTGGTTTGGAATGACATGAGGGTGAGTAAATTATTACAGTTTTTTTGGGTGGACCATCCTTTTAAGATGCGTGCATCTAAACTCTTGTGCATAAAGCATGTATATAAAGCTGTCCTTGTGCTTTTGGCAACTGATATTTGTTTATAGACTGATTTATAGAGAAAAGAACCCCTTCACACGTTCTCTGTGCCAGAGCTATTTCCTTATCCATCTTTCTTCCAGTCCAGACAGCTTTGTTGGCCATGCACTGCTTATTTAAAGTTGAGGGGTATCTTTTACAATATCTATATTTATTTCACCACCCACCCTGCTCTCCAATCCCCTCCTCACTGCTCCCCTCATATTCTCCCAATATCCGGCTGCCTCGTTACCACACAGCAGGTCTGCTTGAGGTTCTTGATGATATTTCAGTATTACTCAGAGAAGTGTGCAATATAGTCACAGATATGCTTTTATTGCTGTCTTTCTACATTATCCCAGTTATTACTTGGCAACTAAAATAAATATTATTATATTATATTATATTATATTATATTATATTATATTATATGATATATGATATGATATGATATGATATGATATTACATTATATTATATATTATGTTATATTATATTAAGCTAGTATGTACAGCATATCAGCTGTCAGTTTAGAAATTCTCATATAAAATATTTTGAGAAAATTTTTTTTTTTAAATTTAAACTCACAGTCACATCAGTGTCCATGTGAATTTATCTTGAAAATGTGCACTGTTGCTTTAAGTATGTAGGCCCCGCCCCGTGCAGCCAGCAGTCACTCACATCAGCACCGTGGACAGGGGAGGGAGGGGGACTCAGCGATGGTGTAGCGGCGCCAGGCTCACCAAGCCCGGCTGGAATATCTCATCTGCGGCGTTTTATACTCCTGCCTGGGTACCGTGTGGCCGGTACAGCTGGCCTAGGTCTCGAACCGGGATGCGGGAGCCATACTTTTGAAACTGAGCTCGGTTCTGGGTTATAAACCAAACGCAGCGGCTTAGCGTTTCCACAGGCGTGTTCTCATCTGTAAGTACTGGTCGTTATAGAAGCTGTATATGTGTCAGATCGCATACGGACGTAGGCTACTATATGTAGCATATGTATCCTTTTATAGTCGCGACTTGACAAGCTGACATGTATCAGTCACATGAAAGATTGAATTTAGTCTGTCTTTATAATCATTGTATCGGTGTGCTTGTGCTTTCTTGAAACCGTTTCTTGTTCAGTGGGATTTAAATGGAAAATTGAGCCAGAGTAACTGTCAGCTGCTCTGACTTATTTCTAAACCACGACGACTATAAAAAATTAATAAATAACAACATCTAGAAAGGGGGTTGTGTTTTATGCATTATTTGTGAGGAGTTTGAACTGAGAGTGTTTTGTAATCAGGAGAGATTTGTGGGATAGAAACGCAAACACTGAGCTGGTAAGAGCAATTGATCAAGTTTTGGATGTTGTGAAATCAGTTCTGTGACTGACTCAGAATCAGTCTTATGTATACATATACCTATGTAATAAGTTTGATACAGGTTTAAATCGTTTACATCTGGAGTGTTATATGAAAATAATAATAATGTTCTGATGAATTGACAGGGAAAAATCATAAATTTGGCATTATTTTGACATTATTTTAAATATAGTGGATTAGACCAGAAGTTTTCAAACTTTTGTGATGCCAAGGACCTCCAATGTGAAGATTGCTGTACTAGGGATCCTAATGTTATGTGTTTAAACTTGAGGATAAGTATTTTCAGTTAAATTTTATTTTGAATTTAATCAGATTTATTTGAACTGGATTGCTTTTCACTGTAAAAATTGTTCCAAAGCAGAATATTACCATAATATTACTTTGCAGCCCCCTAGCTCCCCCTTGCAGACCCCCTGGGGTTTCCCGGACCCCAGTTTGAAAACCACTGGTTTAGATAATGACCATTTTTACTTTGTAGGTCTGTCTTAGCAGATGAACCATTTACATTGGAGATGGTCTGTTGCCTGAGAGATAGACTGAATTACCAGCAGGGCTGTCTGTGATTTAGCTATATGAGCAGTGAGCACATATTCATTTGACGTTTATCCTCTCAGGCTGGAGCCTGGCAGGCTTTCTCTCTGAATTTCCATTTGGTAACCACTATTTCTACTTGAGCATTCGTCTTTTGTGGGTTTGGCAGCAGTGTTAAACTTGTAGGCTGTTGAATGGGGCTAATGGATTAAATGCATCTCTGCAGTGCCAAAGGAGCTGCAGGTACTTGCGTTAAAAGCTCAGGTGCAGTACTGAGGATAATAGTTGGGGTTAGGCGGGGTGAAGAAGCCAAATGCATCCACTTACTCGTAAGTGCTTTTCCTGTTTTCTGCACTCTGTTGGGCTATCTGGCTAGTGATGGGAATTCTGAATCATTATTGAGAATCGATTCTTTCAAGTTGTTTCAGTTAACTAGTTCAGCATTTTTTTTTTTACATCATGTAGTTGTCATCACATGGTCCCTAACATCTTGACATGGTATTCATGGTCAAGTAAAGATATACGAAAGCACGTATGGCGGATTTATTATGGGTTTTCTATTAAGTTTAAGTCATTAAACCTATATCTCTGAATTTCCATTTGGTAACCACTATTTCTACTTGAGCATTCGTCTTTTGTGGGTTTGGCAGCAGTGTTAAACTTGTAGGCTGTTGAATGGGGCTAATGGATTAAATGCATCTCTGCAGTGCCAAAGGAGCTGCAGGTACTTGCGTTAAAAGCTCAGGTGCAGTACTGAGGATAATAGTTGGGGTTAGGCGGGGTGAAGAAGCCAAATGCATCCACTTACTCGTAAGTGCTTTTCCTGTTTTCTGCACTCTGTTGGGCTATCTGGCTAGTGATGGGAATTCTGAATCATTATTGAGAATCGATTCTTTCAAGTTGTTTCAGTTAACTAGTTCAGCATTTTTTTTTTTACATCATGTAGTTGTCATCACATGGTCCCTAACATCTTTACATGGTATTCATGGTCAAGTAAAGATATACGAAAGCACGTATGGCGGATTTATTATGGGTTTTCTATTAAGTTTAAGTCATTTGAAACCTAAATAATATATGAAACAATTATAAATTCACTTAAATTTATTGGCTGAAGCTTCTGTAAAAGCTGTTTATTAAAAACCAACAAACCATTAACAGAGTCATTAACATATTTCTAGTATGTTTTATTTGTAACATTTCTGCTATTCCACTAAAGTAACTTACTTTTAGCCCAATCAGTCAAATCCTTAAATATTGTCCAACTACTCACTACCAGCTTGTCCATTATTTAAAAAAAAAAAAGACTGTTCTCCAGTGATTTGGTGAGTTGTTGACTCAAAAACCTTTCAATCTAATGTGAGAACAAATCATTCAGAATGGTTTTGTGAACCATTTCCACTGATTCAGAGGAAAGATTTGTTTATTAATCAATTACGGCTACACCTTAACTGTTCTAAAAGATATGGATTTTGATTTTTGTGTATGGCAAAGGCTTATGACTGTTATCTTTTCCTTCAGATTCCGAGAACCTGGTCAATGGGAACCACTCGTCAGGAGTGCCAAAATCTCACTTGGTCTCCAACGAGAGAGTGCGCCCTGAGCACAGTGCCATCGTCAGTTCCATTGAGAAAGACCTTCAGGACATTATGGACTCATTAGTCATGGATGACCCTCAGCCCTCTTCCTCCGAGTCAAAGAAGCCCTCTGGTCAGCCCATCTCCCAGTCTCCCTTGTCCCCCATGTTAAATGGAGGGGGGCGCTTCCTTCTCTCACCCCCAATGAGCCCTGGTGCTATGTCTGTGGGCTCCAGTTATGAGAATACCTCCCCTCCTTTCTCTCCTCTCTCATCCCCATCAGCTGCCAGCAGTGGCAGCTACACCAGTATTTCTCCGAGTGGTTGTCAGGACCAGCTTCACACGCTTCCTCCTGTACCAGTGAGGTCTTCTAGTTACAATTACATCAGCCAGCCACCCATACCTCAGCCACGGACCATACTGCCAAGCTATTCAGGTGGTAACAGTGGGTCAAAGGTGCCTGAGAGTCCCAGACTCCAGCGAAAGGCTCTTTTAGAAGCACCGCCAAGCCCAAAGCCAAGTCGTAGGGGGTTGAACCAAGACAGCTCGGTGGCTAAAACCCCAGACAGCCCCATACAGACTCACATTCTGCCCTCAGTCTCCATCTCTATTGCTCAAACTGATTACCCATCTGTCAGTCGGGTTCCAGTTCCAGGCAGTCCCAGACTGACCCCCAAATTCTCCACTGCATCCCCATCCTCCTCACCTTCTAGCCTTAGAACCAAAACTGCCATTGTTCTACAGGATCGGCCCTCAAGTCCTTTCCGGGAGCAGCCTCAGCCAGATCGCTCCTTGACCTCTAGCCCCTCTAACCAGCTCTCCCCACCCTCACGATCTTTCCAGCCCCCTTTGGACCCCATTGTCCACATCATTCAGGGTGGACCTCCACACCCGCATCCTCGCACATTGCAGCCTCCAGAAAGTCCGCGGCTGGCCCGCAGGAACCTTGAAGGGAGTAGCATGAGGGAGCTTCCCCCTCTTAGCCCCTCCATAGCTCGCAGGGGGGTTCCTGTGCTCCCTGGAGCTCTACCAGGAACCCTGCGGACTCCAGAGAGTCCATCCCCAAGAATGGTGCCAGAGAGTCCCAGACTCAGGCGGAAAGCAGGGTCTCCTACAGAAGAACCATTCAGCCCTCGTGGGATACGTGCTCGTAGTCCTTCACCCACTTCTGGACTGATGGGGGAAGGCAATGGATGGAAGGGCAGTTTTGGGAACTCGCTCTCTTCTGCCTTTAGCCTGGGTTCTCTGCCTGGGTCATCGCCCCGATCCAGTCCCAGGAGCCACAGAAAGATGTCAGCGGGCCACAGGGACCTCCGGATGCCTCACCCTGGTATGAGGGAGCGCAAAAATAGCATCACAGAGATCAGCGACAATGAGGATGACCTTCTGGAGTACCACCGGCGCCAAAGAGAAGAACGACTCAGGGAGCAAGAAATGGAGAGGCTGGTGAGTGAGATGCAGTAGTACCTTTACATGCATTTATATAACACAATATCAAACCAAGTCTTCATACAGTATATCCACTAAAATGACCTCGTCACCAAAGTAAATTGCAGTTAGCTCTGAGGAAAGATCTAACATCATTTGTTTGAAGATGCCCACTTGAAAGCCACATCATAGTATAAAGAATTCTTCTAAGAAATACTCCTTGTCTCTGTTTGTACATGTCAAGTAGAGTGCTGCCTCTGCATGTCTTCCAATGATATGTAAATTGCAAGTTTCTGCAGTTAATATTTTCCAGAAAGTGCACACTGATGGCTGTATCTAATCTTAACACACCTAGCAAGCATTAGCAATTGTGCTTTTGGTGAGAATGCAGGACATTTGGAGGAAATGCTACTACTTGTCTCAGGCAGAACTGACACACTGACTAATCTGCTGTCGTGCTGAGGCAGAGGGCTCTGATTTTACCATGGCAACCCCATTTTTGTTGTCTCTTTTACTGAGAGGTGGGAGGGAACAGTAGACATCTTGGTCCAGTTTGCAGCCCAGAATGAAGCCGCTGAGACAAAGGCCCCTGTGAAGTTTTATATGTGTTTGTGTCTGAAACCGCTCTTGTCTGCTTCCCTTGTAATTACCCATTGTGGTTGTTTATTGCTTTCAGAAAAGAAGGTGATCTAATTGAGCATACAGAGTTATGCTTCAATACTCCCAACAGAGAGTATCTGTAATAAGTTATTCGCTAAGCATGTGCAGTTCTAGTATGCTCCTCCTAGTATGCTTTATTTAGCTTTTTGCTGATAAAATGTGCTGGAATAAATGGCGAAAGAATGAGCTACAATAAATGAGCTTAACATGCCAATGACCTCATCCTCGCAAATGTGCTTGATCTCCAAAAAGGTTCGGTACAAATTTAGACAAACAAGAAATGACCTTTGATTCAGACCTTGTTCTGAAATATTTGCAAAATGTCAAGTGTAAATAGCAAAGAATGTTTGCTCGGTGAAGAAAGATCAGATGTTCTTTAGAAAATGTGACTGTCAGCCATTATATCACTCATTATCAAAACCGTCTGTCTTTGAATTGACTTTCACATAGGTATTTTGACATGGTCTGATGGATTCTGTGGTCCATTAACAAACAGCCCTTATCTGTTCATGCAGTTCTGCAGTTCTATACATCATTCGTCGAGCAAGTCTGCATTTCAATAAAAACATCAGAGTGTGATGCATCTGACGTGCGGATCGGCGACGTTGAGCTCATTGACTGCCCCTTGGCTCCTGCTGAGAAGGAGCGGGAGTCTGCCTAGCATGACAAGCAGAAATGTGCTAAAGGGAGTGTTGCAGCAGGTTTAGATTTTTCTGGCAGCTGACTGTCATAGGAGAGGTCAGGCAAAACATCACGTTACATGGTATGGCACAGAACGCATGGCCACTGCAGGAATCAGGAAGGAGACCGTGGTGTTGACTGCAGTCTGGAGGCTAAATCTGAGCCGCAATGAGCAACGGTGGCGGATTTCAAATCGGATTCTAACAAGGGGTCCTATACTAAGCAACTGGCATTGAGATGAATGCGATTCCTAATGGATAGGTTTTCAGGAGTAGAGGTGTACAGGTTTTTACTAGTAGTGATGCACCTAAATCAATGCAGTAGTGATGTAGCCACCTCTTGATATTTCAGACATACAAATTTTACATATTGCTATTCTAACATCATTTTTGGTCACAGTGAAGTGCATCCACACTGCTGACATTTTTACTTCTTGTAGCTTATCCACGTTGTTGAGATGAATGCGATTCCTAATGGATAGGTTTTCAGGAGTAGAGGTGTACAGGTTTTTACTAGTAGTGATGCACCTAAATCAATGCAGTAGTGATGTAGCCACCTCTTGATATTTCAGACATACAAATTTTACATATTGCTATTCTAAAATCATTTTTGGTCACAGTGAAGTGCATCCACACTGCTGACATTTTTACTTCTTGTAGCTTATCCACGTTATGCGAACGCACCTTCGTAGAAATGCTAATTAAACGCCACTGTCTTGGTCAATGGTTCGGCCGAAACCATTTTTTTTTTGCACTGAATATTCTTGGTTGTTGACATTTGCTCTTTAAACAATATTTAGTGTTCTGTTACAAATATCTGCATATTCTACTTTGTTATTATTTCACTAGTTCACACGTAGTCAGATGCGAATAAACAAAAAGGGCTTTCTTGACAAAAAGTTCTGACTCATTCAGGATGTAGCATATAACCAGAACTTCTGAGATCACCACTCAGCAAACTGTGAACATCTAAATGATTTTTCTTTTTCAAGAAAGTGTATTTTTTCTTCATTTTGTGCATGTACAGCTGAGTAAGTGTGAGCAAGTCCAGTCTCGGTGCATAATTTATCATCCCTAAACTGCTACAAGGCTCCAGAGGGATACATAGTTACCTTAGATACAGCTTTGGCACACACACACTTGGCATATGGCGTCAGTCACTAGAAAACCGTTCTGTAAGTTTGGACGAGACAAGAGGTATTGTAATTCATTAACCCGGCATGCAACTGCGTTTTGACCCAGTAAAGTGCAATTAGAATCTTTTTGATGAAGATAAAAGCAGTATCCTCTGACACACAAGACGCATATGAGCTCCCTCTGGACCATTTTGTTGATGGTTTAATGTGTTTGCTTCCTGGGTTCTTGCAGTTCAGTGTAAAATGAGTTATCTGCTCTGGGACAGATTAATGCTGATTCTCCTCACAACAAGAGAGAGAGAGAGTATTTGCGGAAAAGAGACAGTTAACTGACTCTCTGTTGCACTGATTATCTGGGTCAGTGCAGACTTTACTCATTCTGACCCGGCTCTTGTAATCAAGACAGTGAAGAACAACACTGAGTAGGGCTGTCAAAAAAAAGATACGAATTTCGAATATTTGTCGAAAACATTGCATTCGAATTTTAGGTGTGTGTTAAGGAGGCTGCCTTATCAGTGGCACTTGAGATGTGATGGCGATGTAAGTGTCGTTGCATTATAATGTTTTTGTTAGCCTATCCAGTTGAAGCCACTAGATGCGGCGCTGCTGCGTTGTTTTTTAAAAATAGTGAGGAAAAAGAGAACATCAATGCGGAGAAGATCTTGTTTACATCAAAACTGAAACCAAGCCGTTTACACAGAACACATATTTATCGCATTTTCTAGAGGGATATCTATCACCGTTGTACTTGCGTCTCGCACAAAAGAGCCGCATGTTTAGAAAGCCATGTAAAATTAATGCAAGTTTAACTTTAATTTTTCACAGATAGTCATGTTATCTTATGCTTTGAATAAACGTGCATTAGTAATATTTTTCTCGATGCGCCCTCTTGTGGCCTCAGGAGGGAAGCCAAAAGCTTTTCTTCACCCTAACTGAAATTATGCATTTTAAATTCGAATATAATTTGAATTTTGATCATATTTAAGTACAAAATTCGAATTGAGTTTTTCAGCCATTTTGACAGCCCTAACACTGAGTGCTCTTAGCAACAACACATCGAGTTATATAAAGCAATATTCAAGGATTCTCAAAAAGATCTGTTTGACATTTGCACAGGTGACTTTGTAATCCTGAAAGATACAGATATTGATACTAGAGTTCGATACTTACAGTACATGACAGTCGCTTGTGGTGCTTGATTTCCATTGTTCAGATTAATAAAGTCTTGTGATTTTATTTGTGATGCAAGTCTCATTAGTAGCTATTGTTCAAACTTAATGTTAGAGATTTGAACAAACCCTAAAGTATCAAACTTAATTACATAGATCGTCCCACATGTTTGCAACCAACACAAATGAAACCTCAATTCATCGAGGAGAGTGAACAGAGAATTATGTTTCTTTTCATTTTCCCTGATGGTGTTTTGTCTTTGTGTGTATGACCCTGTGCACCGTTTGTATATGAGAATTGTCCATTTTGGACAGGGGGTATTTTTTTTTACAGTGTAGCAGGAAAATAAATGTGTGAGATAAAATATAAAATCTTCTTCTGCCCTTGAGCAGAGACCCTTCTGTCCCTCCACACTGGTGTTTTTGAGAAGAGCTGGCAGTGAAACTCTTACTGTTCAAAAGTGTGCCAAGGGATTCACACAAGCGGCAGTTAGTTCTGTCCTCCGCTGCATCTCGATGCTCTAAACTTGGCCATGAAATGACACAATGACACAATGAGCCAAAGTGATAAACCTGAAGAGGCCACAGGCCACTCTATATCCTTACCTTTTTAGTGCATTTGTACAGATAACAGGCAAGGTCTAATAGTAACCATTATTTATGTCTTGTTCTTTTTGCCAGGTATCTGAAGGCTTTTAGAGAGGGCCCTGTTTTCTATCTTTGGTCGCAGAGGATAATGCATCCGTTATGTGAATTATATGCCACTATTCTGTACAATACTCAAGTACAAGTTTTCTGTTTATTAGGCCACAAATAGACCTTTATGTGTACTTTCAGACACACAAGGGCAAGTAGTCTTTGAAGACTACAATTTGGATAAAAATAAAAATAAAACTTATTTAGGTTCTCGAATACTGTGTGTTTATTTATGGAGTTATTGATGAGTCAAGGACTAATTTGTATATTTCTCCATGGCATTTTTTTTTTCAAGTTTCCCATGTTTCACAACTGTGTATGTCTAGACATTTTTATCTATTCCAAAAATGTAGGCTGTTTTTCCTCAAACTCTGTGTGAAATTAGAGGTCCCCATCATTTTGGAGTGCACCATGAACAGATGCATCTGGTCCTGTTGACTTGGCTTGTGGTAATGTGCTGTTTTTCAAAGACATTCAGTAAGAATGCAGTTGTCTATGTTGTTTAAAATATCACATATATAAGTGTCGTCCCAGGATGTTTACTGGAGGACTTAATGCTACTGTGCTTGATTTAGTCTGTAGTCTGTGTTTGAAAATATTAGGATGTTTTTCACACTGTGGGTTTTCTGCAGGCAAGCTTTGAAAAGAGGAAAGAGAAAGACTTATTTATTCCTCCG